ACTAGGACCCTCTCCTAGCAAACTTCAGCCAATGAATCACTGTTAGAGTCAAACTAAAATCAATCGTTTGAAATGCTACAAGTGGATTTAGGAATCACAACATTATAATGTATATCATAATGTACAGTATGAAAAATTAATATTCATTTTGAGATTTGCAAAACATTTTAACAGTGTAAGAATATTATTTATAAATAATGTTTAAAATGAATATTTAATGTAATGTTTTAAAGATTAACTAAGTGGAATAGATGATGACAAAGGCAAAAAAATTAAAACAGGACAAATTAGCATGAACTATTAAATATACAATATTTTCCCATATAAGTGAATTCAAATATGGTAATGTATGGCTGCACAAAATCTAATTGCAATTTTTTTTTCTGATAAAAGTTGTGATTGCAACTTGTGATTTTAAAAAAGCCCCAGATTTGCTATGCTTGATTGTAAGGCTGCACAAGTTGGCCAAAATGTTGTGATTATATTATTATTATTATTAATATTTATTTATATATATTATTATATATTTATATTATTATTATTTAAAAAACACACTGGATCACAAGTTGTTTGCGTGTAAAAGAACACACACAGCATTTTTTTAAATTAAATCGCAGTCATGTCATGATTTCGGTTTTATTTTGATTAATCATGCATCCTTACGTTACAATATTCTGAGCATCCTAAATTTACATTTTTTAAGCACTTTTTTTTTTTTAGCTTTCGGACAAAGCCACTGAGCTATTTTTACACCTATTGTTAAGAATGAAGCAGCTCTAAATAGCATTCATACAGCTGTCAATAAAAGGCAATGTGCAATTTCCTGGAAATCAGTGGCATATGCTCTACCACAGGCTGACTGAGCAAACAAGCAAGGTATGAATCCTCAGCAGCAGGTTAATAATACAGAAAGGGATGGAGAAAGAGAGAGCCGGCTATGGAAGAGCACTTTTGTTTGCTCTCGTCTTGAATTTTCCAAGCACATGGTCCACCAGAGGTTGTTGTGTTTACATGCGTCAGGACAAGATGCTCTAAGGGAAAGTGACTTTCCACACCGCCCTGACATATACAGGAGAGATGGGAAAGAAAAATAAAGGAACATGGGCACAGAGTGTCTCTCAGAAGGGGAGAAAACAAATTCTATATGCATGATCAAATCAGAAGAGGTCAGAGGTATAATGAAAGAGATATTGCTCTTCATGCAACCTGGGATTAGCAAAGCTAATGAGCTCCATCTATAGCAGTCCTCCACCTGAGCTCCTCCCACCACTTCACATGCACACACACGCCAATACATAATCATACATTATATTCAGAGTGGGATCATGCATAAGCACGCAATCAGCCTTGAGTGGCCTCAAGTGACCTTGGCCTTTTGAAATGAAAGGGTTTCATGTACAAAAACACACTGAAACTTTCATAACTCAAAAGTTCTCCCAAGACCAAAAAAAAAGAAAAGAAAAAATAAATAAATTAAAAATAAATAAATCTAAAATAAACAGTAAAAAAAAAGGTTAGTGGATGCTCAGAACAACCTGCTTTATAGCTTTTTTTATTCATTCATTCATTCATCCATACGTTCGTTCGTTCGTTCGTCCGTCCGTCCGTCCATCCATTCTTTTTTACTAAGATAGTAGTAATAATAATAATAATGATGATAATAATAATAATAATAATAATATTTTGTTATTTATAAACATCTTTCCCGAGCTCAAGGTTGCTTAAATAATAATAATAATAATTCTAATACTACTAATAATAATAATGATAATTAAAATAAAATAAATAAATAATAATTAAAAATAAAACTGAATAAATACAATAGTAATTTTAATTATTTACACTCAAATACAGCATATTTATTGTTTAAATAATATCATTATTAAATTAATAAATTAAATTATTATTTAGCACATATTAACACATTAATAATTTCTTATATAATAATAATATATTCATTTAAAAAACTAAAAAATAATATGACCATTTTAATTATTCTTATTTAAATACAGCATATTTATTGTAAAAGATAATATTATTAATATTAATAAATTAAATTAATATTCATCAATATTTATGTGTAGAACTCATAAATATTTACGTGTAGACTAGAATAATCCCTCTCAAAATCACTCCTGTGAAAAGAAAAGTCTTACCGTCTGAGTCGATGCTGTTGAGGGCGGTAGGGGGGATGATGGACACTTTGCACTGGCCGAGGGGACATTTGCGGGGGTAGAGATCCATGCATGCTGTGTGCACCTGTCCAAGCACAGACGGCTTTTAGAGTTCACAAGCTCTCTGAACTGAAGTAGTCATAAGGGATTCTGGAATATGCAGTTCTTACCATGGCCTTGCACCATAAACAACGCCAGTCCTGCAAGCGCAGCACGCTGCCACAGGTTTTGTCGCAAACGGCACACTTAGCACTGACAGGCAGGTTGCCTTCCAGCCATTGGTGTGGCATCGCAATCTACAGGAATAGAATGTAATAAAAATGTACACCATCATTTCTGCTATTCAGTCAAAGGTTATGCATTAGCTCACTGAACCACGGGCTTTATGAGACTCACCCCATCTTCGTCCTCAATGATGTCCTTGCCGATAGAGGCCAACGTTGTCCATTTGCAGTTGTTGGTGGCCCTGACTGCGCATCTTTTGTGGGCCTTGAATTTACACACTGGAAGAGAGTAATGTGAAAACTGCTTATGAGTCCTGCCAGCAGTAACCTTGAGCTGCTTCTATGACAATCAAGTATTTTCATTTCTGCAGAAGAAATATGAGGTGATAAAAGATGTCTGGAAAATGCTTCCTAAATCAAGCTAAAATTAAACTGCGCAATATACAGTGATCAACTGAGGGGAACATTGAACATGGAGGGGCCACATGGAGTAGACAAGCACTGTACAAAAAATAATCATTATCTGTCATTCTGATGGATTGGCTTTCTGTCAGGCTCTAATGTAATTCTTTGTTATTTTCATTTTCCTAAACAAAATCCTAAAAGTCTAACCAAGGCTGCATGCATAAATAAAAAAATACATTAAAATTGTGAAATATTATTACAATTTAAAATAATTGTTGTCTATTGCAACGTATTTTATAATGTAATTTATTCCTGTGATGCAAAACTGAATTTTCAGCATCATTACTCCAGTCTTTTGTGTCACATGATTCTTCAGAAATCATGCTAATATGCTGATTTGATGCTCAAGACACATTTTTTATTATTATCAATGTAAGACCAAATACATTAACATTGTCATGTACATTACAATGCCAATCCATCCGAGATTAGATTTTGCCTTGATATTCCCAATATTAACATTTTCAATAAGTACTGTAGCGAATCAGCTCATGGGGAAATATGAATAATTAATCATAACTAGTTATAATTAATTATAAATATTTAGATCC